GTGTTTCCTTGAGTCTTCAGGGAGGAAAAACATGTTTCCACCAAGAAGACTGCTCACCCCTCCATCATTTCTGAGTTCTGACTTGGGCTTCGAATAATCCTGCTAAGATGAAATCCATTTCTGTGGCATAAATGGACAGTTGGTGTTCATAAATTTCAATTGATTTTTATGACTATAAAATATTATGTCATTATAAGCACCTCTTATAATTGAAGTAAACCAAAATCTCCAATAAATTATCTTGTTTTGCACACTTTTCAGTCTGTTCTTCTTATATTAGAACACTTTAAAAAAGAAGAATTCATAACAACAAAATTTAAATTTAGTAGGTTGCTGTGTGCTGTGATTTGTAAGAACGTATTTCTTTTTTGTAGCTTATAAAATGAACTGGAAGTTTAGAGTTATTCTTTTGGGCTATGTATATTTGTGTGTTCGTGTGTGTGTGTGTGTGTGTGCACTTGGCCTATTAAAATTAACTAAATTAATTTAGATGAGATTAAATAAGAAGAAATCTTTTCCAAAGACGGCGTCAGGCACCATGGTTAGATGCTTTTGGACAGCAGTGATAAAATAATGAGCTTGGTATAAAGTATCAGATTCAGGTCAAGTATTTTTTGAAGATTTATTTTATTTTATTTTATTTATTTTTAATGATAGAATTCATCTTTGTCAGCTCTTGAAATTAATGAGTTGCCTCAAATCTGGTTTACCCGGTCTCTGTGGCTTATTTAAGCTTTGTCCACACATATATTTGTTATAATTAATGATGGAGATTCCTAAGTTCTAAGGCTAAGAGAATAGCATACCTGTAAACATAGCACATCATCATTTAATTAATTCAGCAGAATCTAGGAAAGAACAGTTCCCTTCATTTCTGGGTAGTAATATTGCATAAAAGATAAGAATATTTTCCATGTGCTGAAGTTAGAAGTATTGATTTAGTTTCCAGAGGAAACATATTATGAAAAGGACTTCTAATTAGATTCTTGGATTAGATGTGTGTATGTGTGTAAGTGTGATTTATAGATGAGGAAACTGAGGCTGAGAGAGGATAACTACTTTGTGCAAGGCCATTGAATTCATAAGTAGCAGTACCAAGACAGAAAAAACAAATCTGTGATGTGCCAAAGCCATATTGTTTCTACTACTTACAGGAGGTTCCTTTATATAGTGTCATCCTCACAAGTACCCATCATTCTAAATTTTTTAACTTAAATTTTAAAATTTATGATTAAAAAGTAAGTACTACATGTGAGTCGTTCAATATTCAAAATGTACAAAAATATAGAATGAAAACAAATCTCTTTTTCTCTCTGGTTCCCCAGCTCTTTAGGCCCCCTTCCCAGAGAAAGCCACTCCACCAGTTTCTTGTGTATATTCTACATATTTACACACACACACATACACATACACTCCCTCACTGTGTTAGCATAGTGAATTCACAGTTATGTATCTTATGATTTTCTCTTGACATTATATTTTGGTGATCATTGCAGATCCCAAACTGTCTTAATTGTACATTTATAGACTATGGTGGATCTGTTAGTACTAAAATTGTCTAAAAAATTTACATTTTCAGGCCATACAACCTGTTACAAATGTATAGGTGGTATTTGCTGGGTTTGATCAGAAGTGGGCAGAAAGGGGAGTGAATCTCTCCCTTTCACAGATCTGTATTTTGAAGGGGGAGTAGCTATATTACTTACCCAAGTCAGTCATTAAATTATAGAGGTACACATAAAAAAATCCATATTGAATACCCATTACCAGGATGAAGGATAAAAGCCAAAATGATAAAATAAAGATTAGAAGGCACAAGTGTGCATAACAAGGAACTGAGATGGATATAAAGATGAGTGATGCAAAATCTGAAATTAAAAAACCTGTTTGATGTATAAACACAGCCTTAAGAATAGACTATCAAAAAATACATGCAAGAAGGAAAAAACGCATCCAACTGAAATAACCAGAAACCACACAGCCCGTTCCTAACCCTTGATTCCTCTGAAGAACAATTCACACCACGAAGAAAAGCTTTTAGATGTAGAAAGCAAAACCCTTATCAGGACAGATGCCCAGCATTTACGAAACAATTTGGACACAGGGGAAAAAAATAATCTCTTTTCCCCATGATGTAGCTGCAGAAAATAGATCAAAAAGCATCAGACAGAGGAGTCCAGCAGGGCTAAAAACAAGGAGGATTTTCACATTCAGGGGCATGGAAAAGGAGCAGGCAACTCGCTGACAAGCAGAAGAAAGAGGCAGATGATTGATTTCTCTGTATTAATCTTAGCTATGGCTCTAAAATGTTTACCACCCCATTGGATCGCTTACCAGGCTCTGAGCCGTCTCTTCCTCCTTTGAATGTAGCGAAGGCATGGTTTGCATCCTACCTCCAAGGTTTTGCATGTCCACCCTGCATTGTCCACAAATCCTCTAAAGAATCGCGCATTGAGTCCTTTTTATGTGCAAGATGGTACTAGATGCTGAGATGCAAAATCAAAGTGAGCAGAACATCAATTTTCATTCAGATTCTTGCCTCAACTGTAAAGGAAAAGGGTAAAATATATTGCTTTCTGATAAGGCACTTGTCTACTCAGATTATTTCCCTCTGTGATATACAGCTGCCTCTCTTTATTGGCTTTCAGAACATTCCATAGACTAGTCCTTGATTTTATGGCTTCCGGTGACAACAAACCGTCTCAACGCGCCCAGGAGGTATTTCCTCCTGGATTCTGCTCTTCGGTTTCTAGCAAAGACTTTCCTTTTTGTAAATAAGGCAATGTTTAATTACAGCCATACTCACGATCTGAGATCTTCTAGGCTTATGTCCTTAGATGTCTGATTACTTACACCAGCGTCTCAGGAATTCTTTTTGAATTCTTCTCTAAGCCTCGGCTTGTTTACAAACAACTTGGCTGGGAGTTTATTACTGTTGGACTTACACAGAAAGGTATGTGTGCATCTATACATCTCTCCGCCTCCTTTTTCAAGGAACTTGAGATAGACTGGAGAAATACATAAATTTACAAAAGGATAAAATAAGAATTTCCATATCTAGGAACATATGGGAAAGCAAATATCAAACAAAACACTGTGTGAATCAGTTGCTAGACACGGGGCTATGAATTTGGTTCTAAGCGTCATAAATGGTCAAGGCAAAGGAAGAGACACTATCCTAAAATTCATAGGATCTAAAAGTTCAGGACAAGCTAGTTGCTACGGGGAAGCACCGTTTTTCTGGAAACTGAACGCTGAGAGAAATCTCTCCCATGGATCCTCATAAAAATGACACTGTGACGTATATGAGATGATAGAAAAACGCCTTACAAGTTTCACACGGTATTTTGCGATGACATGCCTTAATGTAGGCTTATGGCTTCATACTAAAAGTTAACTCAGTTAATGTAATGGGAGGAGGGACCCCAAATTAGTACTTTAGCTAGGCTCCTGTATCAAGATGAGGATTTCTTAACTCTATTCTGACCTGCTTAGGGCTTCCATCTAGGGTAGCAATATTAAAGCACAGAGAGGAGGAGGTCACGTCCTGTGGCAGAGATTAGAATGATGTGGCCTCAAACCAAGGAAGCTGAGGAACGGCAGCAGCCACTGGAAACTGGAAGAGGCAAAAAGGTTCTCCCCTAGAGCCTTCAGAGGGTGCGCAGTCCTACCGACACGCTGAGTTTGGACTTCTGGTCTTCAAAACTGTGCGAGAACACGTTTCTGCTACTTCAAGCCACTCCGTTAGTAGAAATTTATTAAGGCAGCCCGAGGAAATGAACACACATGGAATATTTCAGTTGACTTGATTCCAACATTTCCTTTGGAGCCTTGCTTTATGCTGACCCAGTGACTCTCACCTCAGACTGCACATTAGAATGGCTTAGAGAACTTAGAAAAAATGCTGACGTCTGGGCCACACGCTCAGAGATTCCACTTCAATGGGCTTGGGCTACAAACTGGCAACGGTCTACAGTCAGAGTTGAGAACATACATTTCTGTGTAAGTCCAACAGTTAATTAGTCACAGCAACTTAATATCATAGGGGTGACACAGAAGTACATGGGGTGGGAACAGCTATATAACAATTTTTTTTAACTTAGGCATTTGCTTTGGGACATAACATTCTGTATCTTCATGCCCAAATAGAAAGCATTCTTAGACACTGTCTGAAGCAGTTTTGCATCAGCTGTCTGCACAGACCCTTATGGCAGTAAGAGAGTCCTGTTTTCTACCATGAGGAGGGAGTATGGATGTTCTCACAGGTGGCCACCGCTGCCCATCTGGACGCTCCCCTCACTGCCTCTGGAAGCACTGCGGAGGCGTTGCCTTCTAGACTGAAGCTGGACAATGCTTAACTTTAACATAAATCAAAAGACATCATTTGTAAGCCCTTGCTCCAAATTGTCCCACTGCCTCTTGACAATTAGACAATGACAATTTTGAATTTCTGGTGGCATGGTACTTTGTGTAATTAAAAAAAAAAATCTGCTGCAGAGACGTGCTGAATAGGAGAATAGTACCTTATTATTTGGAGGGAAGAGGGTCCTTCATTGTGAATTGTGGAACAAAGCAATTCCTTGTTCGTCAGCCCTCAATAAATGTTTCTTTATTTGTGAAGTTGTGTGATGGCCTGTAGTGGTCTTTCGCGCACATCAGGGAGCAGTCAGGAGGGAGCTGCAGTTAGCAGTGGGGCTGGTCTATGAAGGGCCTTTGACGCCGAGCTCACTGCATCTATTGACTCCCCAGGAAGTCTGAGGTCACAAGCTTGCCTGGAGCACATGAGCCCAGATAATGAAGATGGTTTGGCCTTCTTGAAACAAAGCCAGAAACTTTATCTACTTCATTGTGCACTTCGGGTCATGTGCTAACGACGAGGATTTGTCTAATACTAATCCCCCTAATGAAGGCTTCTCCCAGCCCTTACACAAACCCCACAAGGCCCCGTGATTTGGCAAGCCAGGCAGAATAAAGGCGAAACGGCGTTTGGCTTTTGAACTGAGTTCAAGGCAATTAAAGCCATGGACTAAGGAGGAAAGGAGGGGGTTTAGAAATACCAGTATAATAAGTAGTATGACTGGAGCGCTCCGTCAATTAACTCAGTGAGACAAAGCCTGATTTCACGGGGGAAGGCGGTGAGAAGCGCTACCCTCATTAAATCTGGCCATTAGAGGTGCTTCTAATGGAATTAACTTTGTTTTAGTGGTCTGAGTTATATAAAGTAGTCTGTGCATGTGCACGTACACACGTGCACACAGGCAGGTTCTGTAATTTTTGTGGGTCTTTTTTTCAAGAGGAGAGGAATAGAACGCGAAACAAAAATACACCCCCCAAACCGCAAATCCCCAAGGAACAAAAATCAAAAACGGGGTGGATCTCCAGTGCTCAAGAGTGGAAGACAAGAGGAAAGCAGGACAGAGGCGAGGAGTGGAAGGCGCGAGAGAGTCCTCCCGGTTATAAAGCCATGAGCCCCCTTCGATGGGGGCTTCTGCTCGGCTGCCTGGGCTGTGCGCTCCCGCCGCGGGTGCGGGCGCAGTTCCCCCGGGTCTGCATGACGGTGGGCAGCCTGCAGGCCAAGGAGTGCTGCCCGCCGCTGGGCGCCGACACGGCCGACGTCTGCGGCTCTCGGGAGGGCCGGGGCCAGTGCGCGGAGGTGCAGATCGACACCAGGCCCTGGAGCGGTCCTTACGTCCTGCGCAACCAGGACGACCGAGAGCGGTGGCCACGGAAGTTCTTCGACCGGACCTGCAGGTGCACAGGTGAGGAAGGCGGGCAGACGTGCGCATGCGCCCAGCTGGGTGGGGCAGGCCCGCTGGGAAAAGAGCCCCTTCCAAGGAAGAGATGGGACTCTTGAGATGCTTAGACTAGGCTTTGAAAAGCAAACCAAGTTGGTCCATCGTAGGCAGGGAATTGAGTAAGGCTGATGTCTTGGTATACTCTTCACACCCTTTGTATATCTAGCTATGAACACTAAATAAATATTCCGTGGGCCAAGCTTCGTTATATGAACGCGTGCCGACACACCACGGGCTTGTCTGTTGGAGGGGGTAGCTAAAGGGCCCAAGAATCAGCTTTGAAACTCAGAGCAAAAGTCCTTTCAAGATGGATTCAGTGTCCTCTCCTTCTGAAATGGGTTTGCACTTGTTGAAGAGGGTGGTGGGTGAGGCGTGGCATCTGGAAGACAGACGTCGAGGGTAGGTGTTCTGTAGTCCGCGTCTCAGCGTTCCTAATGATTTGAACAGGTCTCAAGCAGGATACGTCTTGCTCGTGAAGGTTATGATTGGGTTGTAATTTTGCCAGCATCAGAGAGATGTGGCATGACAGAGCTTTCTCCGCGAGCTGAAGAAGAGAGGCCGGTTAGGAGATAAAAATGGCTTTTTTCCCTCTTACCTGGGTTTGATGTGAGCGTTTCAAAATTTGCTCAGTGTCTCTCTTTTAGACCTTGGTCTCTCTTATTACCTGTTTCTTTGAAATCTCTGTGCACTTCTTAATCCTCCGTCTCTTCTGAGCCATCTCAAATCCTCTTTCGCGGGCCTCCCCTCCAGTGTTCAGCAAACATGCACAGCAGTGATAAACTCTCAAAGGCTGGCAGGGCATGTGGAATACAAAACACATAAGCCATAACTTTAGCAAAGCCCTTGGAAACTGTTCTACAGTGTCTAGCCACAGAAGAGTTTTTTCCTTTTGAAATTATGCTTTTATTGATGTTCTTATATGATACTGGCACATAGGAAAATACAGATAATTGAGCTACCTAAGGACATAAAAAGGTAAACTAAGGGAATGTACAAAGGGCTGTGATGTTGATGTAGGAATGTTATCCAATGTTTTTAACTTAAACAAATTCTGAAGCTATTTTTTATACAGTGGATAAACAGGATCCTATTGTATAGCACAGGGAACTATATTCAACATTCTGTAGTAAACCATAATGGAGAAGAAAAAAAATTCTGGCTTTATAATCATTTTGTAGTCATATTGTTAATTCTGTGATTCAAAGGAACTGTTTTGTCTTGGGGTATTATTGTGACAAAAAGTTTTTAATAGCATGTTGAATATATGCTGTTCATTTTTTCTAAGCTAGTTGAGCATTTGCTTCTGTAGACATTATCTTGTAGATTCTCATGGTTTTTCAGTCTAATGAGAGGCAGCAGGTTTCATATTACTTGTGGGATTGGAAACCACACTACAGAGTGACTTCTTTGTCTATGACTCAAAAATTCTTCTAGAAAACTTGTTTCCAGGTCAATTAATGATAGAGTACCACAAGTTACAAAGGTTGGGAATCTCCATTTTATAGAATCCTGGGGGCAGAAGACATTAGGAACTCAGATATAACTGTTAACTCTCCTTATCACCATCTACTCTATATTTCTGACCTGACTAGCAAGTTTTTTAAAAAGTGGAGATGGAAGGAATCAAGGATGGCCCAATAGAAGAGATAATTGCAGTCTCCCTGTCCTGAGGGAATGGTTATAAATATTCCTCTAGAAGTGGCAGTAAATTAGGGTCACAGTGACCTAGGTTGTCTCCCTCCTCCAGGATTTGATCTGTCTAGACTCATTCAGGACCATAGCTCTTTCCATCCCAACTTTGGATGGCTCTACTCATGTTGGCTAGACGGTCTTTGTCTTTGAGCCTCAGCGTACCAGGCTAGGTCCTTAGTGACTGAGCTGGACAGCTATTTGGTATACATAATAATCACCGTGATGTGTCATATGCCTCAAAGCAAGACACATGTCTTTCAGTTTATTCTCCCTAAAGAGTGAGTTGCTTGCTTTCTGAGAGTAATTTCTTCATGATTTAGAAGGCAGACTTCAGAAGTTAAACCTGATCTCTGGTAGCCTCAAAATTCTTTTGCAAATAGAATCACTGGGATTCTTCTGGTGTCACCCAAAATTTATTAATGAAGAAATGTATATTAGCAACCAGACTGTTGATGACCTTGAGCTTTGTTAATACAGTGGAAAGATAAACACACCATTCATCTCTTGATGGACATTTAGGTTGTTTCCACATCTTGGCCATTCGGAATAATGCAGCAATGAACATGCGGATGCCAATATCTTTCTGAGATCCTGATTGAAATTCTTTTGGTTAAACACTCAGATATGGGATTGCTGGATTATATGATAGTTTTATTTTTAATTTTTTGAAGAACCTCCATACTGTTTTCCACAGCAGCCGCACTAATAGTGTGCGAGGGTTCCAATTTCTCTGCATCCTCGCCAAGTGGTATGTATTTGCAACTTAATACCGTTCAGCCCTACAAAAGAAGGAAATCTTGTAGTATGCAACAAATGAATGAAACCGGAGGCCATTATACTCAGGAAATAAGTCAGTCACAGAAAGATAAATACTGAATAATCCCACTTATATGGGCATCTAAAATAGTCAAATTCATAGAATCAAAGAATGGAATGGTGGTTACCAGGAGCTGGGAGGAAGAGGAAGTAGAGGGTTACTAATCAATAGGCATAAAGTTTCAGTTAAGCAACATGAGTAGGTCCTAGAGTTCTGTACAACAGAACTGTACAACATTCTACCTAGAGTCAACAATAATGTATTGTACCCTTAAATATGTGTTAAGAGGGTAGATCTCATGTTGGCTATTCTTATCTCAATTAAAAAAAAACACACACAAAAACTCATAGTCTCCTCGATCTTGAAGTTGGTAAAAGATTTTAGCTCAATAAAAAGAAATAAATGCAAACTCTGAGGGGGGGAAAAACCCTAAATTATGTGCTCAAATTCTCTAGAGAGAACATCTCTATTCTCTGTGGGGATAAATTGAACCCCCCAAATTACTGAACTTAATTGTCAAGAAGTGGTAAATTTCAGGAGACTTTGGCATTAGCCATTCACCTTCCAAGTCTCACCTGCCAGTTGGCATTCCTAAGCATAGACCAGCTGCAGCTGGGTCTTTGGATTTTTGAAAAATATGTGCACCAAATGGTTTATGAACAATTATCTGAGAACTTCTTGTTTGTACAAGTGACTAAGTGCCTCCACTTTCCAATCTCTGAAATGGGGATAATGATGAAACCACATTTGTAAAATCCTTTTGAACTCTGTAAATGAAAGGCCTCATGTGAGTATAAAGTATTGTCATCAATATAATAGAATCTCTAATTAAAAGGAATAGGCTATTTAGAGCTCCTTGTAAATTCACTGATTGGTGGTCTTTAAGCTTAATTAATCTAATAGCCCTTGGAGGCTGAGCTGATGCAGTTCATGTAGGAATGTGCATTGTTTGGTTGTTCTCATTCTCTTTCCATTTTCTCCCCAGTCCTAAGTAGGTATAAGACTTTGTCTTTTTAAATTTAATTTTTACTCAAGGACATACTCAGTGATAGACTGGTATCTAGGGATCCTTTCTTTTTTCTCTCTCCATTTCCCAGTGAGATAACGCAATCCTTTCTAAAAGGGCCCTGTTCATTTATATATCTATGTATATCTATATCTATACCTATATATGTCTATGTCTATATCTATATCTATATCTTGGCTGCTGCTATTGGTGGATTAATGGAAAAATTTAACTCATTAAGTTGATGTTAGGAAATACCAGGAAATCTAAATTAAAGAAATAAACACTTTGTGTGCTAGGCTTTTATGTTATTGCACTTTTCAGTTGTCTTCAGCACTTTAACAAATTCTCTAAATCAGGGTTAGAAGCTCAAATATGAAAGGGGTCTGACTGCAGAGCTGTGGGGTATATTTTCTCTGAGACATGCTGGAAAAGGGATTTTTTATCAAATACATTTATGGGTCATAGGTGAGCTCAGATCCACACAAATGCTTTCTTATTAGCATTTCTACGTTGCTTTTCAGGGGCAACTCTGGCTTCATGAGATGTCTTTGTTCAACATAATTGTGAAGCATCTCTGGTCTTCTGAGTCAGAATCAATCATTTTGTCTTTTGTCATTCATGGTGTTTGGTTAATTCTTGTTTTCACTTTTCCCACAGTTAGACTTGCGTTGATATTTTGTTCCGCCCATGTTCCTCGTCCCACTAGATGAAGGCACTGTGCCTTGTTTTTGTATCCTCTAGGGCTTAATGCCTTTTATTTAGTTATTCATGACTCTTTCATCAGCCACCCAACCAATGTTTATTTAGCACCAATTATGTTAGGCCCTTCAGGTACAAAGGGGAAGAAACACCAATATAATTTTTGATGTGTCCACAGCGTAGTGGATGAGTAAGACAGGTACGAAAACAAATACTTAGACCATACGACTTGATAAGTGGTATCTGGTAAAACTAGTAATGGTAACACTTCATACAGAACTTACTATGTACCAATACTACTCTATATTAACATGATTGCTTACCATAAGAACCTGATGAAGTAGAACTCTTATTCCAATAGGACAGGCTTTGAGAGGTCAAGTCCAAAGTTACCACGTGTGGCAATTGCATGAATGTACATAAAGCTGTGGGTGCACAGAGCAGGGCATGATTAGTTTTGACCTCCTTTTAGGTATTAGGCGTTAATAAATTATTTGTTGAATAAATGAATGAGGGAGATAATTAGTGATTGGTAATTTTGTTTCTAGCAACCAAAAGGAATCATGGTAGAGAAAATGCAAAGATCTTAAAACTCATGGCCTAAGTTATGAATTATTCAATTTTAATAATGAGACCCCAAAATTCAAAGTCAAGTTTTATGCCTTTAAATCTAGAAATGTATCGAATTTACTATTTTGAAATTTGTGTGTGCTATTTCTTAGCATTTTGGAGGAAGGAATTGCTCTCCGCTTGTAGAGCTATGACTACACATTCACCTCCAATCACCTGGCTGTAGGTAAACAGCTGGAAGTTTAGGTATTTAGTATTCTTCACATGCATTTTGTTCAATCACTTCTCAAAAAATACTCTATTCCTATAGAAGCTGCCAAATTAGGGGATACATTTTAATCAAAGATGTTTTAAAAATAGATATTATACAATTTTAGTAGGTACCCCAAGGGAAAATAAATAGACTCCAAGCTCCGTGAAGCCTGAAGTGACTTGCATAGCATTTGATACTGTAGTAGCTGTTGAATAAATATTTGTTAAATAATTTATATTTAATAGCTTCACTCCAGTGATCAACATAAATTTTAATGTTTAATGCAGACTATTCAAGAACTTGATTTTCAGTCTTGAGACTAGTAGAATTTTCCCTTTTAAGTATTTTTTTTAAACTTATGTTCTCATTTGGTGTTGAAACAGGAAAATACAAGTAAGCTGTGTAAGAGTAGGTAGAATATTTTGTATGTTACAAAGAGCATAGAACCCAAATTTTTTTAAAAAATTCTTCTTATTTATGATATTTTTAAGGACATTTTCCTTAACCATCAAAAAATCCATTGGGTTAATAGAGGAGGCCTGTGCATTTTCTTCACGTAGGACACGTGCTAATCGTTTTGTTTTCATGTTATTGGAAAATTTTCTTTTCCTTTAGAGATCCAAATAACCCTCTCTTTTCTATGGTCATAATATGTTTTACTTGCATCTATTTTGGTACTTGTAGTTTATCAAAATTATTTGCAGGGCCTGCTTTTCCTTCTAATTCACAAGGGAGAGAAAGGAAGAAGAAAACTAAGGTTTATTGAATCATCTACTACGTGCTTTATACTCCTTTTTTTTAATTAAAAAACTTAAATTTCAGCTTTATTGACATATAACTGACAAATAAAATAGTAAGATATTTAAAGTGTCCATCGTGGTGATTTGGCTTTATGCTTCTTTCATTCATTAAAGAAATATTCATTTGTACAAGGCCAAGCATAGGCCTAGGCAGCAGGATAACTGCCTTCCAGTTGTCTGTAGCTGAGACCAGTAGATGTCTACAGTTGACACGATTAATTCAATGAAAAAGGAAATATGAGGTGTCATAGGAGCACAGCATGAGATCATCACCCTGATGTGTGGGATCAGGGATGACCTTGCAGAGAGCCCATCGTGACGCTTAAAGGTGGAATGGGTAACCCATGCAAAGAGGAATGTAGGGAGACCGTGAGGGAAAAGTGTTCTAGACAGAAGGAAGAGCAAGTAAAAAGATCTGGGAGGGGCTTCCCTGGTGGCGCAGTGGTTGAGAGTCTGCCTGCTGATGCAGGGGACGCAGGTTCGTGCCCCAGTCTGGGAAGATCCCACATGCCGCGGAGCGGCTGGGCCCGTGAACCACGTATCAAAAAAAAAAAAAAAAAAAAGATCTGGGAGGAGGGGTAGGAAGAGAAGGAAGGGAGATTGTCACTCACGTTAAATGCTTTACATAACCCCTCTCATCCCCTAGGAGATAAGAGTTATTATCCCTTTTTGTTTCAACATTTCATGCCAATAATATTTAAATGTTTATTCTAACTTATTACCACCTAAGGAATGAGGTGCTGGTCATACCAAAAGCAATAATCAAGGCTAAAAAGGGAAAAGTCAAGCTAAGATAATTTAAACTTTAGATGCTAATCAGAAAGATGCCTAGAGCTTGGTATGACTAGTCCTCAGTCCCAGGGGTGATAACAAACAAAGCAGAGCCGTTTGTTTGCGCTTCCTGACGCCACGGCAGCTAATTCACCTGCCAGCCTCCACTGATTTTGTCTTAACTCTGTCTCCTTTGTGAAATAAACCAGCTTTTTAAATGTTGGATTCCACCGTAATTCCTGGAAGTCTGCTTAGTTATTTTGGTTCCACCTTTAGCTTGGTGTATATTCTCTTCCTTCTCTAAATCAATGACCTATTTTGCAGCAGCCCTTCCATATGTGCTGCAGGGGAGGGGGGCCCAGCAGTGATGACATCCAAGGCTGCAGCTCAACCCCAGGGAGGGACCCCCCCCCCACCCCACGGCATGACCCGTGAGAGGAAGGGAATGTGGAAGGCAGCAGTGTTTTAGTTTGCTAGCGCTTCCATAACAAAGGACCATGGACTGGGTGACACACAGAAACTTATTTCCTCACAGTTCTGGAGGCCTGAAGTCCCAGAACAAGGTGTCGGCAGCTGGGATTCTTCTGAGGCCTCTCTTGCTGGCTTGTTGATGGTGTCTTCTCCCTGCCTTCACATCATCTTCCCTCGGTAACTGTGTCCAAATTTCCTTTTCTTATGAGGACACCAGTCATGTTGGATTAGCCAATGATCATTCCCCCCAATGACTTCATTTTAACTTACTTTTTTAAAGACCCTATCTCCAAAGATAGTCATATACTGAGGTACTGGGGGTTGGGACTTCAGCATATGAATTTTGTGGGGACTCAGTTCAGCTCATAACAGCCTGGAATTCATTTCCTGTCCTATTTCTTTGCTGGGAATACTTCTAGGAACTCTCCAGTGTTCAGTCCACTTGGAGAGACAAACATTTCAAGAGGAGAGTAAGGAAAAGCAATTGATCTTCTCTTCTGTTCTACCCCAGAAATGTCTTCCAAACTACATAAGCTTCCTCTTCCATCTTTCCCTTAATTTCTATTATTTATTTATTTATTTTTACATATGATACATGTATTTATTATACCTACTAGGTGTGTTCTCTTTGGGAAATACGAATCTCTTTGAGACATAGGTTGTTCATTTTTTTTGTTTTCCCACAAATACTGGGACCTTTTGAGCAGGAAGGTCTATATTTTACTAACATCTAGAACCAGCAGCTAACACGGTGTCTAAGATGTAGTCAATACATATGAAATACATAAATGAACACAATTTTAAGGAAGGGCCAGGACGTGAACGAATAGAAATTTTTCAGTCACAAAGCAAAAACAGACATAAAAATGATACAGACAACAAGTGCTATGGTCATTCAAAGAAGGCATAGAATAGATACAACAAGGATCTCCCCTATGGCACAGGGAACTAGACTCAATATTTCGTAATAACTTGTATCCCTTAATTTTTAAAATGCACTAGGAAACTTCGCCGGCTATAACTGTGGAGACTGCAAGTTTGGCTGGACTGGCCCCAACTGTGAGCAGAAGAAACCCCTGGTTGTCCGGCAGAATATCCACTCCTTGACCCCTCAGGAGCGTGAGCAATTCTTGGGCTCCTTAGACCTCGCAAAGAACACGCCGCATCCCGACTACGTGATCACCACGCAACACTGGCTAGGCCTGCTCGGGACCAACGGGACCCAGCCCCAGATCGCCAACTGCAGCATCTATGATTTCTTTGTGTGGCTCCATTATTATTCCGTTAGAGATACATTATTAGGTGAGTCTTTTTTTTCCCCTGAGTTTAAGGTATTTTATTATAGGTTTGGGATTGGGGGTGGGTTGGTGGGTGGGAAGTACTTTCAGGCAAGTTAATTGACAAGAGAAAAACCTCTCAAGGAATCAAAGAGGAATTAGGTTTATGAAAGTCATTGAATTATCAGATGCTGCCCAGTGTTAGAATGCAATGGTTTCTCCCTGGACGTTGGCTGCGGACATTTGAAAATGTTCTCTCCTATAGTTTGTGTTTTTGGTTCAGGGTCTAAACTCTTCTCTCCGAAGCTATTCATCCTCAAAGGCAAGAGTTGGTGAAGTGGAGGTAAATTCCTTTTGATTCCAGAAGAAAACATGTCTAAATCTGACCATGGAAGGCTTCTCTGACCTATTCTAAAAGCACGTGAAGCTTTTTTGTGCAGAATCAGAGTATTGGTATTGGAAGTGTGTATCGCACTAAACTCACATGTATTAGTTGTGAGACTTTCAGGTCATCGCTCGTGGTGCCCATGCACTGCTGTGATGCCCAGGGCTTTTGGACTTGAATTGTCAAGGAAAAGGATGAGCTGACCCACAGCAGTGTAGCTTGGCTCAGCCCTTTGAACCACAGTTAGGCTGGATGCTTGAGAAAATGGCACCCTGCTCTCCCAGATACTAAAACCTGGGGCCTGGGATGGGAGCTGTCTGTTAGGAACGTCATTCATCTGGTACATCAAATTCTATCCTCTGTTATTTTCAGTCAGGGGAAAGCCATGGCCACCAGTTAGCTCCAGGAGGGCTGGAGTCCAGTCCAGATCCTGCTCCGTGCTGTCCTGAACTTTGGCTCTATTTGCAATTATCCCCTCTTCTGGGGCTTCTCTTTGGGGTCAGGGTGAATGAAGATACAGAGCTCACTTTGAATAGTGAGATTCTCATTTGAAATCATCTGTCCTTGTGTTTATCGCTCACCCCCCCTCGCTTGATGCCCCCTCATCATTTTGTTTTGAGAACTTTAAACTCCGTTTTGCATTAAAACAATTACAAAGGGCTACGTAGCCGACATCAGTGACAGCAGTTTTTTCCCCTCAGTGTCTTTTAAAAACTTGCCTCATAGGTAAGCATCTGTCTTTCTTTATCGGTAGATACGGAGGTTCTTCTGGCTCTAAACCTTTATTGTTTTCCTGTCATCACTCCGAGGAATTTTTGCTTTATGAGAGGGTAGTCTCTCAAGAGGAAAAGAAAACTATAGTTTCTGGTTGCATCTAGGAATTAAATTTATATTCATTTCTGTTCATCTCTCTGAAGTTATCATGGGTACTTTGAAAAAGAACTAAAGTTAGCTAAAGTTTCTACATAACCATCAAAAGCTGTTATGAGAGGGAGAAGAAGGATAGAACAGGCAGTAAGGAGGTCATTAAATCTCCCAAAGCTTTTCACTAAAATTGGCAGTTCCAGAGGCCAGCCAAATTGGTTGGAATGTATTTTTCTCTCTTCTGGGCTCGGCAACCATGCCTGTCAGCTAATAGTTGTAACTGATTGATGGCTGAGGTAGAATCCTTGGAAGTGCCTTTCGGTTACATAAATGCTGAATTTGGACTAAGTGCAGTTGAAGTTGCTTTATTATTCATTAATCCCTCCCTATAAATACATGCTTTTGTGAGGAATAGGTTAGAAAATGTCTTTTAGAAATATATTTCATTTAGGTCTTGATCTCTTTTGGGGGATACTCATTCTATCTTCATGAAACATTGCTTAAAAATTAAATTTATAACAGGAGCTCTTAAGATGACCTGAATTTCTCTGCTGTCAATCAAACTTTCAAGAGATGAAGGAGAACTTATCCTAAAACTGCTAGTTGCTGCTGAGATTGTTTTGTTGTTGTTGCTTTCAGAGAGATAAATGACAAAAACAGTTGTTTTCCCTTATGGTTACCAAAGGGGAAAGGGGGGGATAAATTAGGAATTTGGGATTAACAGATACACACTACTATATATAAAATAGATAAAGGGCTTCCCTGGTGGTGCAGTGGTTAAGAATCCGCCTGCCGATGCAGGGGACACAGGATTGAGCCCTGGTCCGGGAAGATCCCACATGCCACGGAACCACTAAGCCCATGCGCCACAACTACTGAGGCCCACACGCCTAGAGCCAGTGCCCTGCAACAAGAGAAGCCACTGCAATGAAGCCACTGCAAAGCTCACGTACTGCAATGAAGAGCAGCCCCTGCTCGCTGCAACTAGAGAAAGCCTGCGCGCAGCAACGAAGACCCAATGCAGCCAAAAATAAATTAATTAATTAATTTAAAAAAATAGATAAAGAACAAGGGCCTACTGTATAACACAGGCAACTTTATTCAGTATCCTGGAATAAACCATAATGGAAAAGAATCTGAAAAAGAATATATATATATGTATATTTATATATATATACATATATATATAAACTGAATCCCTTTGCTGTACACCTGAAACATTATAAATCAACTATACTTCAATCAAAAAATAATTAATTAATTAAAAAAAGTTGTTTTCCGACTAAAACATCACGGACTTATTGGCTCTGCAGCACCTCCCAGGTAACATTTAACATTTAAAAAAAATCTATTCTGTGACCTCTAACATGTTTCCCAAATGTTTTAGGACCAGGGCGCCCATACAAGGCCATAGATTTCTCACACCAAGGCCCCGCCTTCGTTACCTGGCACCGCTACCATTTGTTGTGGCTGGAAAGAGATCTCCAGGTTGGTCCAAACATTAGTTTCTTTTAATTTTGTTTTGTATTTGGTCAAGACCCATATGAGTCTTTGCTTTACACAGTTTCTTGTTGTATCTGATGACATGAATTAAATGACTCGTCATGCCCTTTGCTTTCAGCGCCTCACTGGCAATGAGTCCTTTGCTTTGCCCTACTGGAACTTTGCCACCGGGAGGAACGAGTGTGACGTGTGTACAGACCAGCTGCTTGGGGCTGCAAGACAAGATGATCCGACTCTGATTAGTCAAAACTCCCGATTCTCCAGCTGGGAAATTGTCTGTGATAGGTAATCGCATGTGTACCTGCAGCAGAAATCCAGAGATTTTATTTTCTTATGTCTGAGAGATGGAGAATAACTTTACAATTCTCTTTCTAATGCATGTTGGATTCTGTTTACATGTTTCTGAACAGTATTTTCCTGGGATTTTAAAAAACCCTGAGCCCTTTAATAAAAAGAAAATAGAGGCATGGAAATCACACTTGTGAATTGAATATGCTTGGCCATCACTTTGAGATCAACTGTCTTAAAATGAGAAGTATTTCCTGTATTCAACCAACATGTCTTAAGCACTGATCATATTCTAAGCAGTTTAATAGTGCTGGGAATACAAGGATGAATAAAATATAGCTTCCCTTTGGAATATCATTTTATACTTACAAAGGTAGAAGGCTGGTAAACAAATTACAATATAACGTGAGAAGTATTTTAATAGGTGTATGTCCAAAGCCAAGAAGAGAATCAGTGAAAGTCTTTAAGAGGTGGAGACACGAGTATCCTGAGACTTCAAGGAGGCACAGATCTCTCAACCAGAGGCGGGGGAGGGTAGTGTGTCCTAGACGGAGGGAACATCATGTATGTAGTTAGGAAAGTCCCTAGAAGCAGTCTGATATGGCTGGGCCATAGGGTGCTGGGGAGTTGATGGGAACAGGAAATGGGGTGGTGAGACGAATCTCTAAAGTACTAAAATCGGGTCATGTGCATCTGGTGTAGAAACTTTTTTCTACCGTAAGTGACACCAGCAAATGTTTGTTATTTGCAAAAAAAAAGAAAGTACCAAAGAACACACAAGCAGCCCATACCCCACAAAGAACTCTGTCCTCAGGGATTCCTTGAATTTGTTTCTCTTTCCTGGCACACATGTCAGGAAAAGATTCCCCAAGAAGCTCTTCCGTCTTCCTGTATTCATTTGTTTCCTCCACGATCCTCCTGTTTTGATCTCCACTATACTAGTGCCCTTGTCCCTTGTCTTTCGACCGCTCCATGGCACAGAGCTTTGCTGTCCACGCCCCAGGCTGGGCATGTGCGTGTTTTCGGGGGTCTAGGTCTAGCTCACTGTGATCCCATCTTCTACATCCTAAGCTTTTCCTACAGCCCTCCAGGCAGTGCTCCTAGGGATGTAGTAAGTGCTTTGTACATGACTTAATGTCGTTCCATAAGGGCACCATTTCTCATAGTGCCTTGGGCTGTTAATAGGTGGTATGTGAAAAGAGACTCCTCTGATCAAATAAATTTAGAGAATGCTGAGTTAAAAGGGTTTTAAAAATTTTAGAACATCTCAGAGCCTTTCATAAGTAACCGTGTTCTTATTTTTCAAGAGGGGCTTAAACTTATCTGACCCTGACACCCTTATTTCACAGGCCATCTCACTGGAACACACTTGGGAAAGGCTGCCTTGGAGGCTGTTTTTTGTCTAGTTTTTAGGTACTGGCGTCTTTCATCCTCATGTGCGCTGATTCTGTTCTCACACACCCAGTATGATCCCCTCACCCATTAAAATGCACACAGAAACATCCTGAAAATTTGATCTCTACCAAATGGAATACTGTTCTGATGGTGGAATTCCAGGCCCCAACAGGCATGTAGGATATAATCTTATGGGCACGGGACCTTGCCAGCATCCACGTTTACCAATTAACCATCCCTTCTGCCTTAGAACATTTTCTAATACAGCGTTTCTCCTAATATTTCTCCTCCATATAGTTTCACGTGTTTTCACTCTGACCACCTTCATTTGCCTTCAGTTTGCCTGAAATGCTTTCCTAGCTTTACTTCTGCCCAAACTGGCTTAGCTCAATATTAATACAGTCTAGCCTGGTCTCTCCTCAGTTACTCAAGATTCAGATGCACGTAACAGGAGTCACCGTCTTGCCTAGTAAACCCTCTTACTGTCTTTCCAACGGAATGGTAATTTTCCTTCATTATTTATGTGTTGGTTCATATTTCACGCATCTATGTTTTTGAAAATCCTTAATCCATAATTGCTTTTGGAAGCAGTCCTTTTACCACATATTTTTGACCCTTGTAAGGTAACTGTAGTAAAATTTTACCACGACTATAACCTTGATTGGTTTGCTGGGCTCCAAGTTATGATACTATCCGTATTATTTCTAATCTCCTTACGCATCTTAGCTTGGACGACTACAACCGCCGGGTCACCCTGTGTAATGGAACCTATGAAGGTTTGCTGAGAAGAAATCAAGTGGGAAGAAACAGTGAGAAATTGCCAACTTTAAAAGACATACAAGATTGCCTGTCTCTCAAGAAGTTTGACAACCCTCCTTTCTTCCAGAACTCTACCTTTAGCTTCAGGTTGGTGCTCTGAGCTCTGCGACCCTGGCATTTTACAATACTTCTAGATTTTCACGCCTGTGGTTGTAATGAACTGGAAGGAAATCCAGGTGTTGGGAGACATCAAAGCTCAGTAATAGGGAAGCACTTGGTAAAAGAGGGTAACAAGGCATCAGTGTCAAGGAAGTCATCATCCACCTACTATCGTTAATAGCGTAGTTCGAATATCTTCTAACTCAGCCGTTCAAAACCACCTTTTGTATTTGTAATTTCTGTACACATATAAGTACCAAGGCACCTCACTAAATAGAGTATTTTTGAAATATTTGCTCATGATTTTTCTTTTCTCCCTTAAAAAAATGTCAACCATAGACCTTAATATTGGGGTCTGAGATCTCAGAGGAGTATTACAGATTAAATGCAACTCAGATTAGAGCACAGCAATGACATTACAATACTTGAAATTTAAAGGCCAACTAATAATTTTCTCCCTCTAAAAAGACAGTAAGCATGATGAGAAATACGTATGGCTATAAATAAGATTTTAAACAAACATCTTTGAAGCTCCAAAAAAGAATGGCAGATAGACTCATGGTCTTCTCCCAAACTGAATTCTCTCTCTCAACCATGTGTAAATTATACAATTGGTGTGTTAATTGGGCCCAGGGGCAGGGTAGGCTGAACTTACTGCAGAGGTCGTGCGGAGTGTAGCAGAGCCCAGAGTCTGTGCTGGGGTTGGACACATCCCTCAGAATAGTGTCAAAGGTGAGATGAAGGATGACCTTTACCTTGAAAAGGAGCATGCATTAGTTTTTCATTGTGATACAAGTGCAGTCGACACAGATTGCATTCCATATAGATTTTGGTTAAGCGAGTGGTTTTCAAAGTGTGGCGCCCAGACCATCATAATTGACATCACCTGGGAGTTAGGTAGAAAGAACCACAGATTGTTAGGACCCAGCCTGTACCTACTGAATCAGAAACTCTGAAAGTGGGGCATGAAATATGTATTTTTATTTTCCAGTGATTCTGATGTATGCTTAAATTTGAAGATCACTGAGTTAGGGTATGGACAATTAAAATTTCCTAAAAATGAGGAGGGGAAAAAAGAGAAAGGTAAGGGGAATTTGGGGATATGTTTAGAATGCTGAACGTATTACAGTCAAACAGCAGATCTATTTAGTGGAGAAATAGGAATATAAGATTATATGTGAATTCAAAAGAATATTTATTGATCTCAGACCATGTGCTGGGCATCGTACTGAGACTTGGAAATACAAATTTGAAGAAACCACAGTCTCTGTCCTCTAGAAGTTCATATCTAGCACGGGAGACAGATATGACAGTAAATAACTGTCATACAGTACACAAAAGATATAGACTCCAACCAAGCAGGTGTGGAAGTAGCATGGATTAGGAGTTCCCTTCTCTTTAGAAGATCTCATTAAAGGCTGTCGCTAATTCTTAGCTATTTAGCTACAACAGAGCTTCCCATTTCCCGACACAATCTCACAATAGAAGACCATTATCTAGGCTGGAAACAATACAAAGGGACCTTTATCAATTCATGACTCTTGTCACTGACATACTGATTTCTCTCAGGAATGCCCTGGAAGGATTTGATAAAGCAGACGGGACCCTGGACTCTCAAGTGATGAACCTTCATAATTTGGTTCATTCCTTCCTGAACGGGACAAACGCTTTGCCACATTCTGCTGCCAATGATCCTGTTTTTGTGGTATGTTCAAAGACTCAGAAGAGATGAAAACTTTTCTAGATAACGTGTTGGATTTATGTGCTTTACAACAAGATTAAGGTTTGGTGTGTGTTTTATTCTCTGTGTGAATGGGATGTATGCATATGTAAGTTAACTTAAATCTACAGCATAGGGGTGGTTAGATAGCATTTGAAGTTCCCTAATCAGAAACCTATACTTTAGAGGTGGTTAGCTTTGGAATGACCCTAGATGGGAGTTTACAGTCCAGAGGTGGATTCAAAAATTAGCATAATAATATTATAAATTATACCATAATTTAGCATAACATATCGTACATTAGCATAATGATGAGTGATTTTTCATTGGTGGAATGAGTGGTGTTGAAGGTAAGTGATGGGCTGGAAGTACCGTGCAGGTACTGTGACCCTTGCATGATGCCCAGGTACCTGAGGTCCAAAGCTCTGTTCGGTGTTTGGTCCTGGCTTCCCTCACTTCACAAAGGATTCTGGCTAAAAATGAGCTGCTTTTGCCATCAGAATATCAGAAATGTGGACTACTGGTCCCAACTTCTTACAAGGTGGGGGCTTGTCTGTGAGTCCTCCATTGCCATCTTTGTTCTTCTGTAGGATGGTCCTTGTTCCCTGGCTCTAACTTGATGTCTCACATCACTTTTCAGGCTATCATTTCAGCCATCAGATTATGCCAAGCATTTTGATGTCTACCTTCTCTGCTATCTATCTACACATCTATTGACACCATATGTCTCTAAATAAGTTTTTATTAAAACACACATTTTAAATTATAAAATTTGTACATACAACTCATATTCATAAGAAAACATGTCACTCCTACCCAGTACTCCAAAATGTTGAGTAGAACAGCGGAATCCTCTGACAAATTGAGGATTAAACCAAGACCTTTCACTCCTACCAAAGGTGGTAATGGCGATGCTAGTAATTTTTTTTGTTTTAAACACCTTTATTGGGGTAGAATTGCTTTACAAGGGTGTGTTAGTTTCTGCTTTATAACAAAGTGAATCAGCTATGCATATACATATATCCCTGTATCTCCTCCCTCTTGCGTCTCCCTCCCACCCTCCCTATCCCACCCCTCTAGGTGGTCACAAAGCACCGAGCTGATCTCCCTGTGCTATGCGGCTGCTTCCCACTAGCTATCTATTTTACATTTGGTAGTGTACATATGTCCATGCCACACTCTCACTTCATCCCAGCTTACCCTTCCCCCTCCCCATGTCCTCAAGTCCATTCTCTACGTCTGCATCTTTATTCCTGTCCTGCCCCTAGGTTCTTCAGAACCACTTTTTTTTTTTTTTTTTTAGATTCCATATATATGTGTTAGCATACGGTATTTGTTCTTCTCTTTCTGACTTACTTCACTCTGTATGACAGACTCTAGGTCCATCCACCTCACTACAAATAACTCAATTTCGTTTCTTTTTATGGCTGAGCAGTATTCCAGTGTATATATGTGCCACATCTTCTTTATCCATTCATCTGTCGATGGACACTTAGGTTGCTTCCATGTCCTGGCTATTGTAAATAGTGCTGCAATGAACACTGTGGTCCATGACTCTTTTTGAATTATGCCTTTCTCTGGGTATATGCCCAGTTGTGGGATTGCTGGGTCGTATGGTAGTTCTATTTGTGGTTTTTTAAGGAACCTCCATACTGTCCTCCATAGTGGCTGTATCAATTTACATCCCCACCAACAGTGCAGGAGGGTTCCCTTTTCTCCACACCCTCTCCAGCATTTATTGTTTGTGATTTTTTTGATGATGGCCATTCTGACTGGTGTGAGGTGATACCTCATTGTAGTTTTGATTTGCATTTCTGTAGTTGCTAGTAATTTGATTTTCAATCCTAAGTCTCAAGGATTGCCAAATCTTATGTCCTTATTTTGAGGAAACCCGCTAAGTGTGCAGGGCTTGACAACATTTTTCTGTCGATGGCCAGATAGCACGTGTTTTAGGCTTTGCAGCCCAGATGATCTCTGTTGTAGCTATGCAACCCTGCCACTGTAACATGAAAGCAGCCATAGGCAATACATGAACAAGTGAGTGCATTACCCGAAGACTGGGTTCAGTCTCTTGGCAGACATTGAGCCAAAAGACACAACCAAGCCAAAGATTGATCCGAAGAAGGAAGGATTTATTGCTTGCAGCAAGTAAGGAGAACACTGGGGATATTTCCCAAAGCAGTGTCTCTGGGAAGACACTGCAAAATTGGGGAAGTTTTAAGCTAAGGGTATATGAATATTCATGAAGGGGCTCACGCAGAGGAGATTCAGCATAGAACTGGGGCAAAGGTCGACAGAGTCCAATCTTTAGTTGATTGAAGTCACAAGTCAGAAAAGGTTAACATCATCATCTCCTAGGTTCCACTGATCAGGTGGTTGATCGCTAGAGGGGGGTTTAGATTCTTCAGAACAGCTCAAGAAACTGCTTCAGGCCAATCTTTACCATTGAAACGGAACTGAGAGTTCCGTTTCAAAGACAGCTAACTTGTTGTCTTTGCTATAGTTACTTCTCTTGCCTGATAACAGTTTGTTCCTTTGTTTCCTTAAAATTGTTATTACTGAGGCCTGTTCAAGGGCAAGCATTGAGGACAGGCTTAGATCACAAAACGGCTTAGGCTTAAAATGGCTTCTCTTATGTCGAAAAGCTGTAACTGGTTCTTTCCCACCAGGGATTCCCCCTCCCCTATCTGCCTACAAGTGTGGTGTTCTAATAAAACTTTATTGACAAGAACAGGCTGCGAGCCCTATTTACCCAGCAGGCTTTAGTTTGCCAACCCCAGCTTGAAGGGATCAGTGTCTTCTCTGCCGTACGGATGTCTCTTTAGTCATCTTTCTCTTCCTGCTCTAGTTAGAAGCCCACATTATGACTTTATGGACGAGGAATTCCGTGACTTACACGTAGTTCAAAGACACTAGATGTTTAATCGTCCTTGTCTTCATTACTTTTAATACCTTTAATATTTAAAATTTTGTTTTCTTTGGTATAAGTTATGTATATATAAATAGACAAAAAGCCACAGCCCTTCTCTGAAGGTACAGAAGGAGTAATGTTTTGGCACCAGCTCCAGAACTCACAGTTAATTTAGGCTGTTTACAAAGAGTTTCATGTTGAAGCCAATTCAGCTTCAACAGTATTGAAAGCCAGGTTAAAGCACTTAAGTTAACAGAGCTATAGCTTCCGGAATTTCAAATTCATGAGTCAATTTATGCAAAAACATTGCATATAACATTTATTAAATTTATTTTTCTGAAATCTCTTCAAGCAAGAGAAATACAAAGTTGTATATGATCGCAATACTGAGTATAAGACGGCATAATGCTAAAATGCAGGAAAAACTCTGAACTGATCTCTGAAATTCTAATTTTAAGGTAATTGAAGGAAATGCACACATTTATCATGGAAAATAATATTAGGTCACAGGAATGCTAAGTAGTTCTGTTTTCAATATTAAATGTAGGTATAACCTAGAAAAGAAAAAAAAGAGGGAAACCAATAGACTAAAAAGTTAAATAGTTAACTGCCACAAAAGAAACTATGTTAGAGACTAGTAACTTTCTTCCCAATTCCTAAAGATAATATTCTTAAAGTGAATTTGGATATTATCCTCCTAGAAAGTTACATTCGGCAAGTTGTAATTCTTTCAATTCCACAGTAGCTAGGAGACTCATAGGTTGCATGGTTAGTACTCACTGAATAGCTCATGTGTCTGTTCCTCACCTTATATGCTGAAATTCTAAATGGAATTAAGACATACAAGCAGCCTTATTACCATTTGTATTTCTTTCTTTTTTTATTGAGTTATAGTCAAGTCATTTACATATAATATTGTATATATTATATATGTAACTGAATCACTTTACTTCACACCTGAAACTAACACAATATTGTATGTATTCTTTCTCAGATTCTTTTCCGTTATAGTTATTATAGGTTATTAGATTATTACAACATGTTGAATATAGTTCCCTGTGGTATACAGTAAAACCTTGTTGTTTATTTGTATTTCTTAACAATGACAATCATTTGGATAAGAAAGGAATTTAAGAACATAAACCAAGAAAAGAGAAAATGAGTTTCTAAAAACAAAGATCTAATGGATTACACTAAGTTAAGCCTGTAAGACCTTATCAGACTCTACCTTTCTAGGCTGCAATAAAATGACTAAAATTAATAGGTCATAGTAGCAAATATAAAATACTTCTGAGTTAGTATGAGTTTAGTTGAAATTTTACAAAAGAAGTATATAGGACATTGCTTTTCTCCCATCAAGAGCAAAGCACTTACATTGCTTTTCTCCCATCAAGAGCAAAACACTTAAAAATGGGTCTATTATATTTATCTTTCTTAAAAAGTCATAGAGTAATATCCTGAGTAATTAAAATAACATTGTTTTATGTCAATTTTAAATGTATTAATGGTTTAATGATTTATAATTGCAGAAATATTGGCAAAAAAGTTTTTAGATGTCCATAATTTCATTTCAATATTTCTGCTTATTTTGTTTCATATTCTTATATGTTTATACAGTTGCCAATATAATGCACATATTTTTAGGTTGTTACATAGTTTCCTAAATTTTTTAATTAAAAAAAATTATAACATTATAAGAGGTTCAAATGTAAAAGGCACAAAATGAAGTCCCTGTATCAATACCACCTCCCAGCTATCCATTCCCATTTTTCCCTATTCTTCCAGATATATCTTATAGATATACAAGCACATATATTTATGTATAATATTTCTCTTTTTTATACAAATGGCAGCATACTATAGAGACTTTGTTTTACTCTTTAGTTTTTGTTTTTTTACCTATTCTAAACACTTTTTTTTTAAAAGCCCTCATGGTATCCTGTAGCATGAATTTTTCCTGAAATTGGTCTCCTACTGATGGATGTTTAGGTGGTTTCTAATCTTTTGTTTTACAAACAATACAGCAATAAAGGAACATGTAAGATAAGTCAAGAGGATAGAATCACGGGCTCAG